TCGAGTTAAGAGAAGATTCAGCTGAAGAAGCTATCAACATTGTGCTGATTGAAAATGTTATTCTCAGAGCCGAGTTTCAAGCAGAAAGTCTTTAAGAACTTGTGGTTGAGATATATACAACCTTTCTTGTTTTACAATGGATTGTGCTATATCTATATGATAAAACTTGATTTCCTTATCTTTATCTTATTTGGTGTATATTTTAAATTATTGCTATAGAGTAGTAAGTATCAGAGCTTAAGGACAATGACTTTATAGACAACGGCATATCAAAAAAAACTCTTACCGATTGTTTGAAGTTTCTAGACATGTATTTCAATATGTTTCATTGATGTATCTGATAATAGGTGTTTGTATTGAGTTTTTGTAACCCTTATAGTTGTGTGGGATGTCTTTTTGGATACTCATGTTACTCCATTCTGCTTTCATGAATTGTTTGGGTTTTGGTGGCTTGTATAAAGGTGTTCTGAAGGTCTTGGTAAAGTGTCACTTGACATGTGTTATAATGATTATAATGTAGGCTCTTACCTAGTTAGTACCTTGTTGTAACAGTAACACTAAACTAAATCGATATTTTTATAGTAGTCAGATAATCATACAGTAATTAAAACTTCACTAAAAACATATTCATTGTATAGGCCATGGGTGCCTTACTTATATTTCCACAATGTCGTGATGGAAGCCAGTTTGTGTTTAATGCCTATTGCTTTATCAATTTCACCATTTGAGTTCCCTTGACCCAATGTATCACCCAAAGGCAGTGCTATCATGCTATCATAATCAAGGGAGTGCAAATGATGAAATAATGGATTAAATCCATTCACCGTCCATTACCGAATCTTGGACATTTACATTTGCTCTTCTCACATCTAGGGAGAGTTGTATAATTTCAATTTCAAAATGGAGTCTGGTTAGTTCTGCTTTAGGATATTTCAGATATTTTTCTATCAATCTTAAGAAATAAAATGTTTCCTGGTTTAAAATTTTCTTCATAAGTATATAGGTGTATTATAATATATTGATGGTTATTATATTCAATGTCCGTCCATTCTAATTTGCTTGAAACTGATTCCGAGCACTTAGCCATTTATGCTTGGGTATAGTGATTTCATTTTTATGAAATTATATATGTAAATTGCAGCGTCCCTCTGGTCGAAAAGTGACACATGGAGATCGAGCTGGATTACAGTGTGATTTATTACTCCGCTGCAAGCACAAAATTATTTCACATCTTAATGAATTTTGAAGATGAAAAAACTAATGAAATATCTGAGGAATTCTCTACTGGCCTTTTGGTAATTTCCAGTGTAAATTGGATACCATATACCCTTGCCATGGATCATCTCACTCATCGGAATTAGTTCATATTTTCTTTTTATACTAAATTTTCCTCTTTCGAACAATGTTCTGATTTAATGTCACATAAATACAGATATTACAGCAAAAGCATCGAAAGTTCCATTGAGTTTTCATTTGTTTTGCACCAAATCGACAGAAACCATTCATTTTTCAATAAGGGGTTTAGTGGGATCTTCACCATTGCAAGCTGGTTTGGCTTTTATCTCTCCATAGCATCCGTTCCCCATTATGAAGACTTATTCACCCCCTCATAAATCATCATATATACATCCCTACTGACAGCTGGTAATGTAGTTTTAACTTGCAAAAGATGACGATGCTATGATTCCTTGGATCTAGATAGATGATTTTCTAAGACGTAACAAATCTCGCAATTGCCTGATTAAGCTCAACATGGTGATCTAAGCCTCGTCCTTCTCAGCTATCCACATCATGTATCTCTACTAGATCTCTAGCATCAGTAGCCAAGGTTGTTCAATGGTCATCGCTCAGGATGTCAACAGAACGTCAGTAGGCCTTTGTTTTTTCTATGGTAATACAGTCACCATTATTTGGAAGATCTTTGCGGTGGTTTGTATCAGTATTATACTGATCTGATTATCATATACCATCATACTTTCTTTAGATGAGTCAAAGATTGAATCAAGATGTATGGCGTTCTCTATAATATTTCTATTTTTTTCACCAAGCGCTTGAGCTAACCTTTTCAATATTTTGATTTTTCTGTTTTAAAAGAGAACTTCATATACAGTAATTACTTTTAATCCTTGTACTATCAGGATAAGCTGGAGCAAAACTTTCTCAAATAACTTCTCCTTTAGGAGACAGATGGATTGTGCCAATATGACTACCATGGTAACACGTGACTCTTCAAACAACAAACAAGTGAACAAACAATCAAATAAAACAACAGACAACATTATATCAAATCAGACCAGTGGCAATTAAACATTAAAATAATTTATGTTGTCAGCTATTACAATGCTATACATACAATCAGATTTCCCATTCTTCAATCTGGCGTGATTAATCGTGGATGAACTAAACTATATTGTCATCCGAAAACTGATCAGTTAAATAAAACTGTCATACCGGAATTTATGTTATCATTTTATATTGTATCTAACAATTGTTAAAAACTACAATCTGAAAAAATAAAGTCAATTGTTCTCTGATTGATGAAGTTCGTGATGGGTTGACAAAGCCAGGGTATATACATGTTTGGGATATGGGATCATCCCAATAGCAGCTGTTAGGGAACAACATAAAACAATAGCACGGATAATTTATTGAAATGTACCTATCACCTATGATGTATGGGAGTTGATCTGATTGATGCGTGTCCAGACAATTTCCCATCTATGGATTACATAGTACGAAATCCCAACTTTGTTTTTGAATAATAATTTTTATGGGTTATTTTTTTATATTGGTTGTGGTTTATATTGTTTGTTTATTGGATTTTCCTGTCTGTTCGAAGGAGAAATATTGTTTGTCATCGAACAACATGATGGGTGTATCTTTGCTCATCAATGTTCAGATCATCAACTGTCAACTCAAAGAAGGTTTACCATAATCCCTGACATAAAAATGTTGATTTTTGAATATTCATCGATGATGGTCAATAACACATTGACGCAGTGTCTGTAAGCATTATTCACCTGTCAATATCTTATTTGAGGAGTAAAAACTACAATAATATTAGCGGCTTTGATTCAGGTTTCCATGAATCTTGTTGTTAGCCGTTACAAATTAAGTTGTGAATATTTCAGATTTTTTTTGTAGCTTTGGCACATGTACGAACATGTATACTTTTTGACTTTCATTCATAATAGTTATTAAACAAACTTCATGCAATCTGACTTATTTCCTGATATTTCCTCGTTATTTCTCTGTATTTCTATTAGATATGACTTCATAACATTTTGTCCAGGTTGGAATTATTTTTATCTTTTTCTACATGTTGAAATAATTTTCATTTTTGTTTGTTTCCATGTTGACCAGTGGATTTACCTGTATATAAGCGCAAATATAATATACTTTTACATTTATAATTTTTGGCCTCGGATTTTTTCATTCTCATTCGTTATCGTTTACATTGGAGGATTTATAGCCAAGTCAACATGTTTCGCTTGTTGGCGTATTTATGTAAGATTCAGATTTCCAATCTTCGGAAGTTATCCCTTCTTATGGTTAGTCGTTGTTTTTAATGTTATTTATCTCCCGTTCATTTGGGAAACTTATGCGTTTTAGAGCAATGGATCAGTTGGCGAAATAAAAATGCATGAATAGTATCGACCTACAAATCCAGCAATGCAAATCCACTAATGATCGGGATTAAATTTGGGACTTAGGTCATGTCATGTTACTAATCTGTATTATTTTGACAGCTTTAATCCAAGTTCATTAACTGTCATTATGAGATTCTAGTAGCCTTTGTTACGGCCTCTATATATAAAGGCTCTAATCAGCCCACCATGAACGAATCTTATGTCATCTTTTGTTGATCTCTAGACAAGATCGATTCTGACCGTCTTGGAGCAGGTACTTTCTTGAAGACGATTGGATTAAATGTTCAGAAGTAATACCTTCTCAAGAAATATTTGTCTCTGTGGTCAATAGAAATTTCACACTGTTTGCTAGACATTTCTTGACCACAAACTGTAGGTGTTAATTTTTATTCGTTAATGGGATCATAAGACTTAGGAAAGGTATGGTCTTTTTTTCAAAGCAAACTATAATTGTATTAAATCGGCCTTTAGGCTTCAGTTCCCGATTACAAATCATTTATTCTTTTCCCTGAATTTTGGCAATCTTGTTTTTGCCAGATGACGCCAACATTTCTCAAACTCTTGAGTGTTAATTTTTATTTGCTAATAAGATCAAAAGACTAAGGAAAGGTAGGGTCTTTACTTTTGAAGTAAACAATGACTATATTAAATTAATCCTCATGGTTCAGTAACTAATTACAAATCACATGTTTCTTTCATTTTGAACTTTGCCAATTTTACTTACCTCAGAAAATGTGAAAGTTCATGAGTCTCAGAGAGTAAAAATTAGATATGTGCTTGTGTCATTAAGGATTTTGAACTTTGCCAATTTTACTTACCTCAGAAAATGTGAAAGTTCATGAGTCTCAGAGAGTAAAAACTAAATATGTGCTTGTGTCATTAAGGTGTGTTTTGTTAAGTCACCTGACCTTTACCTGCCAGATGAGATAATTAGGCTAAAACAATTAAAATGACATTAAGTCAATATTTGGCCCCAAAATTGACCTGGTCACCTGAAACTGCATCCAAGATATACACAACACAGAACAACTCGCTTAACTACACATACAAAGGCAATCTAAATATTACTCAATCAACAAAAAATTCTCAATTGCTTTTGTTAATAACTATCCAAACCAATTATAATCCGCAGTTGTTTACATTGCTTGAATATATATTTAATTATAATGTTTGTTGTACCCTTTGTCTTTAAAGTCTTAAATATAATATTTATATATAATTAATTAAAATATAATAATTTTTTAGATTTAAGCATGCATGCATATGCAATTAAATTTAAAATATCAAGGTTATTATCTGTTATTCAATCATTTATTGATTAATAGTTATTTAATTTTATTGTTTTTCCAGAGACCTCCATCTCTTAACTTCCCAACTACAGAAGGTGGTCGGGACGAAACACAGTCTAACCATTCAGGTGAAAACACACCGGGTCCCCACAGCCAATCAAATTCAGGAATAATAGATAATGGTAGTGAAACAGGTAAGTACCCCATCTTTAGTTGAATCTCCATCTTTGCAGCAAATACATCAAATCAAAAACTGCTAAAACGATCATTCACTTAAAAGTCAAATTTTTTGTTCATATTGTTTTTTGTTCAAATTTTTTGAACAAAACTTTTGTTCAAAGTTTGTGTAGTTATTTGGGTTTGGAATATCTAAGACTTTATTTTAAGTATAATTTTTCTTAAAGCTTAATCAAAAAAAAATTGATGTACTTGTTGCAGGATAGTGCATGGTTCTGTTTGAGGGACATATGTAATACCTTAGCTAAGATGCTTTAAGAAGCATGCATTGTGGACTTTTATATTCATTCCAATACACAAAATATCAAAACAGGAGATGGCAATAAGAGAAAATACAACTGGAATAACCATTGCAACATTTTCAAATTCAAATGTAAAAATCAATATATGATAGATAAGTGATTCAAGTACAATTAAGGTATGAGAATTTAGAAGTTCAGCATGTTCATGGAATAAGATCTATGCCATTAGTTTCTGTGAGCTTTAAATCAGGGTGATTTCCGTACTAATCACGCGGAAAATTTGCAACCTGGGACTGTTGGGATAAATCTATAAAAATGATACCGATACTCGATGACTTTTCAAAAAGGCCATTGTTCTTAATTAGTGATGCTACGTCTTCAAAAAAATATGATTGACAGTCAAAACGAATTTGCATAGAATTAGCACATAATATCCAGTTTTTATAATCCATAGGATTCAATCTATCGATCAAAGGAACGAAACAATCATTGCAATTCCTAGGATAATGAATAAAGAAATGAGCAGCTTGTTAAGTTTGTTTTTGTGTAAATATGCTAATATGCTCAGAACATTTGCATCTTGTTTGAAATCCCCGCAATTATTTCAAGCTAATCTCGAGAATATTAGCCGATTATGGAAAAATGTGAAGAGTCTCGGGATCTAACCTTTTCATTGTTTTGATTGACTCTTTGGAGGAATCTGCAAATTTTCCTGTCCTTTTTGACAAGATCATTAGAGGTATAGTCACACGACAAGATATTTACCCTAGGATTAGTGAGCATGTTGAAGAAGATATCATGAAAGACGGGGAAATTCTAATAACATGGTAATCATCAGAGGTCTAGTGAATATAATCATCTAACTGGACTAATTCCTTGTTTTGTGGTTAGCCGTATCTTAATCATCAACTAATTCATTTCTACCTTTGTTGGTTACCTCATACCTCATAACAGAAAGGAAATAAGCACTCATAATTTTGTTAAAGGTTCTTTGGTTTTACCTCATTGATATAATGTGTTTGTTCCCAGTGATTTCAATTAAGAGATTACCATGACCAAAGACTGAGTATCGTCACAAAGAAGACATAATCTCACTGGGCACTCAACTTAAAAGACATGCAGATTTTTTCCGGAAAAAACAAGCTTCGTCTCTTCAGTTTTAGAAATCTTCGGAATGGTTGAATAAACACAAAGAAATGTATTGGAGACTTAATTGATGAAATGCACAACGCCGCATTAACAGCATATGGTTTCAACAGCATTTATTTGAAATTTTTAATACACATATAGTCCAAGAGGTAGCATCTGTCTGCAAACTGTTATTTTTCTTTTTTTATCAGAGAAAATATTCGAATATTCATGAGCCCTTCAGAGTTGAATGGATAATTGTGAAAAGAGTCTTTGAAATTGATACGATAACAAACAGAGATATAGAGATTAGGGTATAAAAACAAACGTAGTTATTTCAATTTAACTGAAGTCATTCCGGATTCTGTTCAGACATAGAAAGTGGTCAGTGATCGCTTAAGGAAAATGATGATAATACCAAGGAAAATTATGATAATAATAAGGGAAATTATTGTTACATGTTTTATTCTCATTAAAGGAATTTCTAATAACCTTTATTGAAATGATTATCTTAGTATATATCATACTTGTCATACCCGACTTGGTATAAACAAGTGCCTTTAAGGATGAATTCAGATCATCATGATAGATACATAGCAAGTGGCTTTAAGACTACCTGCTTTCAATTCCCTACCATACTTGACTTGCAGAGTCATAAAATCTGGTCTAATGCTTAGCGATCATTACCCCTAATGTTCAATTGCACCCATGTCATTAAATTAATATGTGAAAAGAATCTGAGGGTCCATTCTCTAAAGAGAGAAATGAATCTTTGCTTGGTTGGCCATAAAAGGCGAAAAGACCTGGGTGGAATTCGCAATGAAGGAGTGAATCAACAACAGTAGATCTTAAACTCTCTAACAATATCAGAACAATCAATGTTTTGTTCATTTGCTTCATGTTTTGTAAGAAAGCTCAGATTTTGGCAAACATTTGCTAAATATTTATTTTCACTTTGATCCCAGTAAAAATGATAATTTCTTGTTTAACATCAGACAGTGTAATTACAATGGTAGAAGTTGAGTCCCTGGAATCCAGTCTCTTGGGTTTGTTTTGAATTGTTCTGTATGTACTATATAATTCTTGGTTTTCTGGCAATGATCAGAGTGTTTATTTACATTTGACTCCTTGAGATTCTCTGGGTTTGGTTTACTATAAAAACACCCAGGGGGTTACTTGTCACATTGGGTTTACTAATAGATGATGATCTTTTTGAATATGGGCTAAGAAGTGTCAAAATTGAATGTTTTGCTATCATATCAAATGATTGCACTGTCTTGTCAATTTACCCACTTGTCAAAGATGGTTATGAGTCTGAGAGATTGTACTGAAAGTAAGTGAAGATGATCATTTAAAGGAGTCGATCTTAATGTATCTGACAATGTTTTTGTTAGCGATTGGCATTGAAACAATGTGTCAAAGTGGTTTGGGAGCATCGATTACTACATTGTCATCTTTGGTTTGCCGAAATGTCAAACATTGCATCAAAATAACACTCTTCAACAGAAAAGGCCGCTGGACTTTTTCACGTTACTTTAAATTCCCGAAAATGACAACTTGAATGAGATGTGTTCATGATATGCAAACATCCAAGTGATTTTTACCCTAACCTGACAGCTAACTGTACACATGTAATCCATATAGTGGTATTTACGATTTTTTATGTTCAATTTTGTGTTGATAGATTTTAGGAGCATCCGATCATTAGAAATCAAACAAGTTTGGTCAGCCATGTTTTGTAATGGAAGACAGTTGAAAACATTTCTGTGGGAATGATTAAATTGCCACATAAGACTGTTTCAAAACATACAAGATTTACAACATAAATAAAATGAAGGAATGTAAGAGCTTAGAGTGTTTTAGTCCATTGAAGTGTTCTGGAGAAACCTCCCATGTTAGACATATCTTGATGGTCATGCTCAAGTGCATAACATCTTTGAAAATAGATGATTTAATGAACTGAGAATTTCAAGATGGAAAACTTAACTTCTCAAAGCGTTTCACGAAAATGTAAATTTTACTCTGGAAATAGAATTCAGTGATGCATCTTTTGAATTGTTTGGACAGGGAAAATTTTTCCATGTATTGAAGTGTCGTGACAATGTCTGTCACAGCCAGTGAAGTACCGGGATCAGGTCCCATTGACGTCCACGGACAATACCAAACTACCGATTGCCAAGAAGATTTCACCAGATTTAGCCGCGGTCTAGACTTAACTTCTACAATCCAATAAAAAGCTAAATGGCTGATGTTTTACTTTGAATTTAAGCGTGTTACAGAGCCTTGCTATATATTAGGCTTTAAAAGTCAGGGATTAGTTAATGACCGCCATGCTGAATCTGACTTTTTCTACTTCATTTGAAACGTTTTCATAGGCGCACGACTTTTGGTCTGCTGGTTGTATAATATACATTAGTATAGTCCAACCCCCATTGTGTTGCCTTTATCCCAAGTAAATATATCTAAACTGGTAAGCCGACTGAGCCTTTAAGACGTAGACATACAAGATTATATGTGGCTGCCGGGGTATACTTCTCCTGATTTGTTGGAACTAACTTCTTAACGAGCTTCTGTGCGACTTTACTTGAATCCAGTAAATCTAATTGAATTCTAGGAGTTTAATTTCATTCTTTTGTTATTTTTTAATGTCATTGATATCATATTTTTTCCTTATATTATATTTATGACATATTTTTGAGATAAGGTGTCAGATGTATTTGTATTTGGATCAACAAAAATTATGATTGTTACTTCTTGTTTACATAATTGTTGACTTTCCTGATTGGTTTGGAATTTTTCTGAATATAGTATTAATGATCTTTGTCACTAGTAACATATTCAGCTTGTCAAAATACCAAACTTATATATTTCAATTGTGAAAATAATATAATATAAAATATCCAACTTATTTTTATGAAGTTTGAATACTGTTATTAAAATCATATTTTCCAGTCACAATATCTAAATTGTATCTTTCAATACGTTTTTCAATCAGTAATTGTGCATCATACATATGTTTATATACAAATATGTACCTCCACTGAACATTTAAAAAGGAGATTTGCCAATAACAACAGCTCCAATAATAGTGCCATCCATCTGAACATTCATAAATATGACTTTTCATCTGTAAATATTTTGAACCCCTTAAACCCAGCAATAGAGAAAATGGTCCATAATGATTACAGTTTGGAATTGTTTGTTTTATTTTAGTCTCATTTTGACTGTACCTTGTTGATTCTTCCTTTGGCTAGTAAACATTTTGTCTCTGTTTGTTCAATATAAAGGATGGTAGTTTTGGCTGATTCACAAGTGTCAATGGTGTCAATCTGATTTGACATCCCTAACTGTGTGTTACCATGGTGTTACATAAAACATTAGAGGGCTTATAACATCAGATGTAACACATAACTAGAGTGAATACCATCAGTCAAAACATTTCAAAATAAACAAAAATATTTGTGATTTATTCAAAACATTGATGGCATATCCTAAATCCCATCATAAAAACTTTTAATTGATCAACAGTCAAGTCTTTTTTCTTACTATCCAACTCAAATTGTCACATACCCTTTTACTTGATTTTT